AGAGTAGCTGCACCATACAGAGTTCTAAAAAACCACATGGTGCACGGTACAGAGAGTTGGCATTCAGCTGCTGCAGGCTTCATCAGTCCCATAAAAGCCAGCATGAGGATTTAATACTGCAGAGCCCAAAGTGCATGCATGAACTAACTTTAATTTCTAAATCTTGCTTAGAAACCTCTCTATACCCATAACCCTCTATACCCAAAAAACTAGCACTGGGTACCAATTCTTATGAAGTTCAAATAAACATGGAGTCTCTAGGTCTTGGGAACTGAGACAAGCCAAAAAAGTTCAGAAAATATTAAATGAATTAAACCTAATACTGGTATTCTCCTTATGGCCTCTCACTTTCAAAAGCAAAATATCTATCACTGTATAAGATTGAGTGTGTGAAATTTCAAGCAGATAAGTTTATTTCTGGCAAAGATTGATAGGGAGGTAGGAGAGAGGTTTATTGACAAGCTAGGTTCTGTAAACATAGCTTGGAGGTTGCTTGGCTGTATCATTCATAGTTATACAACTTTGTCAATGGATTTTACTTGTATTTCAGTGATCTTTTCATATAATAGAGCAACACTGTCATGCTTCTCTGCTCCTAAATAAACATTGTCCTGCCCAGTTTTCACTAGCCTATGGCTCAAAACTTCCAGCTGACTTACAAGTAAGGTGCCAGACAACGTATTAATTCTCTTTTCTACTGTATAAAAAAAAAGCCAATAGTCATCTGCTCATATGCACTGCAATATCATGGCACTACATTAATCTCTAGCTCCAGTGGCTTCAGAATCTGGCCCTTAGTCACTTGTGAGATGTATTCAGTTTTGTCTCGATTTGGGGATGACCATTCCATCACTACTGCTTGCTACAGGGCATAGTTCTTAGTCTCCCTGCCAATGCAGGAACTAGTAACTAACTGGAGGACAAAGGTATGAGAAGATCCTCCATCTGGAAGCTGAGACTAGAAAAAATCAAACTAGAAATAAGGTGCAATATTTTAAACAGTGAGGGTAACTAACCATTGGAGAAACATAGCAAGGGTAGTGGTGTATTCTCTATTACTGTGATTTTTGTAATTAAAAGTGGATGTTTTTTCCAACAGATATGCTCTAGTTCAACCACAGCTATTGGACTTGAAGTGGAAATTAATTCAGGGCCTGTGTTTTACAGGAGGTCAGACTAGATGATCACAATGGTCCCGTCTGTCTTTAAAATATATATATCTATGACCTTACCGTCTTTTTTTCCCAGTCTTTTAATTCTGTGATAATTAGACTTCCCAGCAGCAGGAAGTGTCTGTGAATACTATGAATTTTAACCCCAGTGAAACAGACACTACCTGAGAACAAACAGGTTACAGAGAAACATGTCAGAATGTCTGTCTGCCCCCAGTAAGTTTAGCCGAGAATATACATTATTCTTGATACTGAATGTATACAACACTGATTTCTAGTTTTAGGGTTAAATTCTGTCCTTGGATGCATGTAAGTTCCATCAGCTTCATCTGGTCCTTAGGCCGCAGTGAGGATAAATTTCTTGTTTATGTTACAGCAGTGTCCAGAGGTCCCACCAAGATCAGGGTCTCATTTTGCTACTCATACAGATGCATAGCAAGAGACAGCCCCTGCCATGAAAAGCCTACAATCTAAACATACAACACAAAGGATGAGATGGAAACAGGTGCAGAGAGGTGATAGGATTTTGCGCCAGGTTGCAGAACTGGGAATAAAATACGAATTTCTTGACACTCCAGTGCTTTTCCCACTAGACCAGTGGTGGGCAACCTGTGTTCCATCAGGGTAATCTGATTGAGGGCCATGAGACATTTTGCTGACATTGACCATCCACAGGCACGTCCCCCTGCAGCTCCAGTGGCCACGGATCACCGTTCCCGGCCAATGGGAGCTGTGGGATGCGGCGGCCAGCATGTCCCTGAGGCCCGCCGCTTCACGCAGCTCCCATTGGCCAGGAACAGTGAACCACAGCAACTGGGAGCTGCGCGGGGCCGTGCCTATGGATGGTCAACATCAGCAAAATGTCTTGTGGTCCACAATCAGATTGCCCTGGTGGGCTGCATGCGGCCCATAGGCCGCAGGTTGCCCACCATAGCACTAGACTATGCTCTCTTAGTTTGACTTCTACTTTCCATATACTCTGCAGCATACTGAATGACACCAGGGAAAGGGTTTTAATAACTTCCTTATTTTATGTTGATAGAGGTATAGAATGTACATTGATGGGTATGTAGTGATTTCAAAAATACCTTAACTGTTTGGAGATGATAACTGAGATCATGCATGTATAAATACTAATTGAAGACAGCCATGAATGGGCAGGTCATCAGCCTAATCACCTGGTTACAATAACATAGTAACAGTGCTCTTAGTTACACCTGTGTAAATCTGAAAAATATAGAGCTCCTGTCCCAGTTACTGCTCTGATAAATAACAGCTTTGGTGTCTAGGTTCCTATTTCTTTTTTGTACTCACTACCCTATTCATTTTTTTTCCAACTTCAGTAGCCAGTCCTGATTCTCATACTTCAGCAGAAGCTTTGCATGAGCAAAGCAAGCAGCATTTGACCCCAAATATCTACTTAAACTAAGTACAATCTTATACCTCTCGGCTGAGAAACCGAGAGCCCCATTTAAAACCTGGGGTGTGGGTGGTTTGGAGTGGCTCAGCCCTGAGGCAGGCTGAAGAGCTCAGTGCAGTTTAACTACTGCTCACATCGCAGAAGAAAAAAGACAGGTCATTTCCTTCTCTTTGGGCTGAATTTTCCTCGTCTTACCCATCACGCAAGCGCTCCCATTAAAATTGCATGAATAAGATGAGTAGGATGTGGTGAATCATAATGCTTTAACTATTTTTAAAAAACTGTTTGCAATCATAAATTAATAAGGGCTTGATGTACCTAGCAAGCAGGATTATGTCTGTGATGCAAAGCTGTATTGTCCCCGGGGGAGCTTTGGGAAGGATTGTGCCTTGGGTACAATCCGTCACAGAAGCACAAAACAGAGCACATCTGTTATACGATCCTTTTGTGCTCCCATCCTACACCAATCAGTGGAGTTCTCTGGGAGCTGCCAGTTGCCTTTCTGTATCTCCTCCATGGAGTGACTTGTGACCACAGGGGCACTGAAGTCCCTGGGATCTAGAGGAGTGTAGGGGCCATGACAGAGGGAGGCAAGCTTCTTGTGACATTTTCTCCCCCCCCCCCCAATAAACCTTTGTGCTCTAACCAGGTACAAACTGACCCCAAGCAGTTACATGTGTGGACTTAAAGATTACAAGATGTAAAAAGTGGATGGTCCATATTCTGTTCTTGTTCTATACATGGAACTCCCATTGGCTTTGGTGGGTGCTCCCTTTATAGAATGACAGGAAATGGGTCAAAAGGAGATGGAAAAGGCTTTTTACCTGCCAACCCCAGAGTTCAGGATGTGTTGTTTCTCCTGCAGCAGTTGATGACATCCTAACACCTTAAGCAGCACAGGAGCTGCATTCCTACGCTGTAACAGGGGAAGCAGAACCAAGGGCCTGAACTCAGGTCTTGGCAGGTAAGTGAAGAAGCAACTGATTTCAAGCAGCTTTGTTTGAAAGTGTATATCTTTGTAATGTTTAAGTCTTAATATGTAATCTGCAATATTTGGAATTTTGTATTTTGTATTTTTAAAAGAGCCCTTGAGTTCACTTATAAGCGCTGCCAAACTGATGATAAAAGTGTTGATCACGCACCTGAGTGAAGAAGGGGTGGAGGGAAACCTTATTTACAGTTAGAGTGACTCAGAGTTGGATTTCTCTTTCAGTGTGAATGGAAGGTACTCAATTCAGTCGAAGAGGGAGAAACTTTTTTATTTAAACTTTTTATACATGCAGCTACGTAAGATGATCAGGGGCATTGTGGATATTTGATATTCAAAATCTGAGCTACATTGGTTGGTTTTTTTTTTCCATTGGACAAACTGTTCATGTGGTATGTTCCAGTTCCCAAGCCTAACTCTTACAGTCAGATTTCCCATGCAAATATTGATGCCATTCAAAATTTGCTTCCTGTAAGCATCTTCCAGTATTCAATTCATTGTTTCTGTAAATGTTCCTGCTCGAAATTTCACCTGCTAGTATGTTCATAGAAAGCAAAGAAAAATGAAGCAAATGAGATTCAAAACAGGAACAAATATTTGAAGATTTTTTTTTTACATTTTCATCTAGCTTTGAAGATGTATTTATTTATTTATTTAAGAAAAGGAAAGTCATTCTTCTCTCAGCTCCTAGTTACAGAAGGCTAATGGAAGTCTTTCTACTGAAAAACCGATACGTTTTATTGGTTTGAAAAACTAATAGTACTTGGCATATGGACAAAAGGGCTTACCACTTAATGAAGTGTGATCCATTTAGCACACTATTTGCTAAGTTGGCAATACATTAAAAATAAAAGTCAGTTTTCAAAGTAATGTGTCCAGGAGTGCTCACAAATTTGGTTAAAGAGGAAAGGATTCCTATGGGACAGCTACATGCTAAATCTTATAATTGAAACCACACAACATAATCTTAATGTAGGGGAAATCTTGTTCCTCAAAGAATGAATGAATCCCCAGCATTGCTGGGGCATTTTTATAAGTGCCCAATAAAGTCTCTCTCCCTTTTCTTTTTTTTTCTTCCTTTCCTCTTACTTGTTACCAGTATTATTCTGACTCCATTTAGGGCAATCTTTCCAAAAGTGACCTCTAAATTTATGCCAGTCTTTGGGAGCACAACTATGAACTTATAGTAAATTGCATATGGAAATAGCATCTTCACCTCCTAGTCTGAGTTCTGGGGCATGCAAAAATTTGTGACCAAAAAACTCTCCCAAAACTGGGTTCATATTTAGAAGCTGGAGTGAAATCACTTTGGAAAACGTAGCCCTAAATATATACATACCCCATTCATTGGAGCATTGCTACAGTCATTATTTTAAATTAACTTTCTCTAGACAAAATAAAGTGTTGTACTACATTGCAGCCTCACTGTTAGGAATGAAGATAGAGCGGACAATGCAGGACGGCCAACACATACAACCAAAATGGAGAGTATCCAAGTCATAGAGGAATGGTAAGTTTCTCACGTTAAGTCTTCCAGTGCTCACAATAGTTATCCAGTAAATCAAATGTCTGTATTTCTAACTCGGCTGTAAGTAATATCAGAACCTCACTTGATCTGAGGCTTCTAGGAACTTATCTGATGTTCCCTTCTTAAATCTTTGGATAAAAGGCAGTAAAATCGGACATGATGATGAAATGCGAGTAAAGGCATTCCAAGTCCTATCTTACCTACAAAAATAATTGTTTAAATAACGGTTGTGAAACATTGTTGCCCAAACATGTGGGGAGGAGAGAAGATGGGAGTGGAGGAACTGTCACTACATATTTTCTGGCCCTCCTTCCATATACACAAATTCAAGGGTCATGCAGTTGCTGCTCCAACTTGGAGTGCAACTGCTGCTGTTCCAAGACCTTGGGGAGCGGGAATTTTTCTCCTTCTCTCTGCAAAATTCCCTAGCATCCAGCTGAGTTATTTGGAATAGATGCTGAAGCAAGGATTTTAGCTTTAACTTACTGAACTTGAGATTCTGCTTATTATTCTCTTCTTAAATTAATGTAACTCTGGGGCATAGTGCCATCTTGCTCAAATATCTTCACCAGACTGTAATATTCACGAAGCAAGGAATGTCCAGTTTTAGAGCAATGAGTTAATGGTTACAAAAAAGGAACGTAATGGATGAAACCAGATTCAATGCCCTACTCAATCCCTAAAGTCTGAATAAATTCCAGACTCTCTATCCTACTTCTACCTGTTTCTGTACTTCCTGGAAGTGCTGTCTTGTGGACACTGCACGTATCCATGCCACAAACTCCTTTAGCTTTAGTGGAGTTGCTTCTTATTTTCACCATTCTGAGAAGAGAATCCTGGCCTCTGAGTCCAAGAAATTATCACTGACTGACAAAACAGAAAATATGGAGTCTGTATTGGTTAATTAAAAAGTTATACCCATTTTGCTCAGGATAGCTTTCTGGAAGTATAAATATTAAATAACTTATGTATCCTGTATTGCTTGTAAAATAAAGGTTGAGTAAATGGATTTGAGCATGAGACATATGGTTGAATACTGCTTATTGTGTGACACGTATACTCAAAAGCTCTTAAACACTGGAACTTTCAGAGGCTTCCATCGTGCAGGAAGGACAGAATGAGTACCCAGTATTAAATTTAACTAAATTTAATAGTAGTTAAATAACTTGAACGACTTAACCCTCAAGTTTATAATTTATATATTAAACAATGTAGTCTTCTGATCTCCTATCCAGTGCTTAAAGTGTAACACACTGGGAATAGCTTTCTTCTAAAGGTGGGAATGGTTTGGGTTTTTTTCCCCTTCTTCTGTATCCAATTTTGCCAGTAGCATCTGGTGTTACCCATCAAATCGTGTACTAATAGATTATCGTTCAGATCCATAGCACCAAACAAAGGGAAGCTTACCAACTCTTAGGTACTAGAGACATATGCTAATTTAAAATATCTCTCAATTGGTATTTTGTTGGGCCTCATTAGTATGCCCTCGGCTGTCAAGGACCTCTTTGTTCTTCTCAGCCCTGCTGAACCAAATAATGCAGATGCACCTGATTGTCCTAGCGTCTTCAGAAGCAAGCAGTGACATCAGATGTCACCTAAACCAGCCTTGAAAGAGAATCCATTATCAACCATTCAGAATCCAATCTCCTTTAAGTACAGAGGCAGTAATTAAATTCTGTTGTGTCTTTGCAGTATGTCACTTTATTCTTGAGTTTTATGGATAACAAATAACATTAGCAAAAAATCAATAGAAAACCAGGGTACCCTGCCTCTTAAAATAAGACAAATTTAATTGCTATTGGGATTATGAATACAGAGGTGAACACAGTGCAAAACTTTATAGTTATGACTGAAGCCCCATTGCTTTCATAGTTCTTGACTACAGTGTAACTGAGGAGAATTTGGCCCAATGTATGTAAACACTGTTACAAAAACAGAAGCATATTCTAATGATACTTTCTTTTTGCAGCCAAAACCCTACTGCAGATGAAATTATGTCTTGGGCTCAGAATTTTGACAAGATGATGAAAACACCAGCTGGTAGGAACCTTTTCAGAGAGTTTCTTCGAACAGAGTACAGCGAAGAGAACCTGCTTTTCTGGCTTGCGTGTGAAGACCTAAAGAAGGAACAGAACAAGAAAGTTATTGAAGAAAAGGCGAGGCTTATATATGAAGATTATATTTCTATACTTTCACCAAAAGAGGTAAAGCTGGAAATACTGAACTTTCATTTGCTGTAATCAAGGATGGCAGGGCTACAGGTTCATGTGGTGGGGTCAGAAAACATACCTGACGTGCTAGATCAGACAGATTCTTCACACTGAGGCTCTTCAGCCAATGAAAAGGGGCCAGAGTTGGGGTGGGGGGCATTTGGTACCATTCACTCCAGCTTCTCAAATCTCTGGGTAAAGAAGCAAGGCTCAGTGATCACAAGGCCAGCAGTGGTATGTTGTTCTCTGCTTTTGTAGTGGAAAATTCCTTTTAGAGGTAGGGAGTAAGCCAGGGAAGAAGGCTTGAGGAGATGGTGCCAATTAACAACTGTGACATCCCATACCGGGTGTTTAATTGGAAATGGAGCCATGGGACATGTTCATGAATAATCTCTAATAATACTTAAAAAGTTGTGTGTGGAGTGATGTCCTGCAATCACTGTTGGGGTTTGTTTGTTTTTTCTCAATATTTTAGATAAATGCTTGGATCGTGTCAAGTACAATAAGTTCCTTTACTTTCCCTACACTTTGAACAAGATCCTCAGCTTTTGTAAACCATTCTAGCTCTAAGTCAATGGAGCTATATTGATTTATACCAGCTGAGGACTCAGCCCTATACATTTATCCTCCAAGATGGTTTCTAGAGGTAATTGCTTCCATTGTCATTATCTTGCCTTTCTTCTGTCTTGTAGTATGTTATGTTGCTTTTGAGTGATACGACTGTCAGTATAGTAAGCTAATAATGTTTTTCTCTTTCACTTATTAATACTCAGATGGCTTTCTAAGCCATCATGTAGCCCATAGCTCTCTCCAGCTTTTAGGTCTGCTGTAGCATTTGAGTTTCATCATGCTTAATAGCTCAAAAATGGTGACAAATTTCATGCTCAGTGTACATAAAGTTTTCCATGCAGATGCCCTTCAGTTTCAATGGCTATCCCAAATCATCTCCTGTCATTACTGTAGATCTTAAGAGGCAAGCAGGGGACCTCTTGAAATCACTTAGACGGGGCATGTGGGCTGGGAACCTTTGCCCCAGCTACTATGCATCCTTTTCCCTATGCTGCTATGGGTTTGTCTGAACTATAGCTGTTTACAAACCACTTTAGTGCAAAGGTTGTGTAGACCAGTGTGAAGTTCCCCTGGTGTTATCTGGACTGGTGATCTGCTAGGTCACTCCAATCCTCGACTCTGGGAGCCAGACTTACCCTACTCTGCTGTGAGAACCCCCCCCACTGCTGAGCTGTTCACGCACAGCCTCTGGCATGAAAGCTGCTTGGATTGTGCAACTGAATAACACTAACCAATATCTCTGGTCCCAGACACAACCCTAGGAACCTCTGTCTTGCATTGTCCAGTTATGCCCACTTGCTGATGCAAACTTATATGAGTTTGTCAATTTAACAAAGAAATTGATATGTACCAGGCTTGTTATCCCAACAGGAGTCTCTGACACACTTCAAACCAAACGCACTGTTTCAGGTAGAATAAACAAACAAATTTGTTAACTACAAAAGATAGATTTTAAGTGATTATAAGCCAAAACACAACAAAATGGATTTGGTCAAATGAAATAAAAGCAAAACGCATTCTAAGCTGATCTTAACTCTTTCAGTGCCCTTACATACTTAGATGCATCTCACCACAGGCTGGCTGTTTGCTCTTCAGCCAGGCTCTCCCCTTTGATCAGCACTTCAGTCGCTTGGTGGTGATGTCTGTAGATGGAGGTGGAAGAGAAAGGAAGAGCATGGCAAACGTCTCTCCCTTTTATCATGTTCTTTCTTCCCTCTTGGCTTTGTCCCTTCCCCCTCCCCCCCACTTCGGGATCAGGTGAGCATTACCTCATCATCGTCCCTGACTGACCAAGGGAAGGGGGGTGACTCCCTCGAGAATCCAACAGATCCTTTGTTGCTGCATAGGCCAGTGTCCTTTGTTCCTGTGAGGCTGGGCTGAGTTCGTCCCATACATGCCCTGATGAGGTGTGAACTGCCCCTCTGTTCCTGGAGAGTTTTGCCTGGGCTTGTTTTAAGCCAGGAGGACACATTTTCAGCCTCATAACTATATACATGAAATTACAACCTATAATATTACAATAACAACAATGCTCAGTGCATCATGAGCCTTCTGAAGACACCCAACATGACAAACTTTGCATTGGATACCACACAATCATATGAATGTGGAGGTGCAGGGTGTTCCCCCAAGATACAGAGTGTCACAGCCAGCAATCAGTTATCCATATAAACTGCAGTCATCTTTGCCTGCACACTTTACAGGGTGATTGAGAAAATTCTAGACAAACTAGACTACAGGTGTGAAAGGTGACTCTTTTTTAAAATTCTATAAACTCAACCAATTTTCACCAGAACACTCACCAGCAAATATCTTCAATAAGGACTACTTGATGCCACTTTCTCTAACAAAGAGGATTAATCTTCTAGCTGCATAAAATGAGACCCTAATGCTGTTAACTTCATGCACTCAAAGGCAAATCACCCAAAGGAAAATCACTTAAAGCTAAGAATTTCAGGTCTAGGATAGAGAAGTACAGTTGGTCAGGAGTTGAAATCTGCCCTAAGCAAATTCCAAGGCTGCAATACTGCCCTTTGCAGCTGCTTCTTCAGTACTATAATTCAATACACTATCTTGTCTACAGCTTTAGCTATGCATGTTGCATCACACAGTGCTGTGTGCATGATAGGAGAGAGTTCACAACAGCCATTTATATGAAAGTACATAGTAAACAAGACAAAATATTCTCCAGAGTAAATAAATTAAGTAATAGGAAAAACTTGCTGGCATACATAGGAATCTGATATTTGCAGTTAAGCTGGCATCATAATAGTGCCTTGTGATTAACAAATGATTAGACTATAGAATGCATCTTGGAGAAGAGGACTTACTCTGTACAAAGATTAAGCCAATCAAGATGTATTAGACTATTATGACAATAGTACAAGCACACAAAAAATGGAAAAAATACAAGGTGCTACCTGTAGCTCGTAAGGCTGTAAAGAAAACTTGCTTACTGTCTTAACTATACCAGTATTGTATTTGGTAATATATTTAAAGACTTTATTGCAGTGCATATGCAATATTCATTCCTGATTTTTTTTAATGCTTAACCACACACCTTTAACGGTCTTCTAACATCAGGGTGTCGCTGCTGCTTTTGGGTTTATATGGACTAAATATATTTGGACAATATAATTTTTTTTTTAATATGGGTAAAGTGCAGATATATAGAGCCAGATCCTCAGCTGATCTAAATAGCATAGGTCCGTTGAAGTTCATTGCGTGGCTCAAATAGAAGGATCAAAGCAACGAATTGTTCTTGGCTCTTCCATATCCATGCTCTATCTTTTTTCTCCACAACTAATATTTTCCTAACTGGACCCATTTAGTTTTCCCTATTGTAGCGATATTTTATTTAATCTGATATGAATCTTGTGTTTTACTAGAACATCAGGGGCAATGTGCCTCTGTCCTTCCTAGCTGTCAGAGTTCATTACAAAAGGAATATGTCAGAAATTCAAGTGGAAATTGCAAAATTGCTACCAAGTTAAATATGAATATAAAATTGCCTAAAAGAGGAAATTACCAGAATCTAAAAGGCCTTGAATGGAAGAAAAAAAATGAGACTTAAGACTAATAGCAACATTAGCACAACAATAAAAAAAAACAAAACACTTTTGGCAATTTGTGACTAGTAAGTATAGTGTCAAAAATAAAACAAAAAAACCCAACAACCATGGTACAGTAAACAGAAAATTTCAGAAGACTGAACAAAAGCAACTAGGAGAAAGCATTTCAGCCACTTAATGAGTCATCCAGTATTTCCGAGGATGAATATCTTTAAGTTTGGAAAAACTAAGTAAAATGATCAATGTAAAATGAAATATATATGGAGAGATCCATGTTAATGTATAGCTTTAACTGCCCTGCATTTTTGCTGTGAGATATGGCATCTTTGTCTCATAATGCCTCATGTGAACACAAACAGCAGGGCAAATCAAAATGTGTTTGGTAGGCTTAGATTGTAGTTTTACTCAGACTTGTATAAAATTGACTTTTGAAGAAGCCGAGTACACAAAAAATATAACTGACAAAAGGAAACTTAGCTCTTGGTGCACTGTAGATTTTTTTTTTTTTGGAAGATCTATGAAATATAGATATTTATATGGCCCTTTCCAAATCTGTTGTTTAACAGACATCTCTTTCTATTCTCTTCAGGTTAGTCTTGATTCTCGGGTGCGAGAAGTGATCAACAGAAACTTGTTGGATCCCAGTCCACACATGTATGAAGATGCTCAACTTCAGATATACACCTTAATGCACAGAGACTCTTTCCCAAGGTTTTTGAACTCTCAGATGTACAAGTCTCTCATCGAAAGTACTGTAGGCTCTACTTCTGAAGCTTAGTTCTAATTTTTGGATGAAATAATTTGGGTTTTTTTGTGGTGGGTGGGAGGGAATAAAAGTAGTTTAATAACATCTGGCGCTGAGTTCCTGGAGAACTACAGTTTAGCACTACTCAGGCTACTGTGAAGAAAACAAATACATATTGTGGTCTCTGTCTACATTTTTACCAAGGTCCTCCTTGCTTGAGTTTGCGGGGGAGGGGAACGATGGATTTGCCAAAAATACGTTTGTTTCACACTCCTTTCACTTAACTGCAGTCAAGATTGCAATGATGTATTTGTAGTTTTATGAACAGTCTCCTTGTGTATCCTCACACTGCATGTGCAAGATAAAATTGCTTCACATACCAATTATTTGTTGCAATATTTAATTCAATAACATAAATTATATCTGTATTTAAGAACTTTTTTGTGCAATACAGTCTTATGGTACATAGAAATAATTGCAGCAAACCAGGAAGGGGCTTGCATTTTTTTTTTTAACATCACTAACACAGAAAAAAGCCAATTTTTCACATGTAGCATTATTCAACATGCTCTACTGAGTACAATACACTGACTTTTTGAAGCCAACATTTCTGTATAGGAAAAAGAGCTATTTATCACTGTTTATTTAAAACAAATCAAAGTGGGGATTCCTCTGGTTGTTCACTGCCAAAACTGGCATTTTCATTAGCGTCTGCAATGTCGAAAAAAAAGAAAGCACAAACCACTTAAAGGGATCCATGTCTGGGTGACACGATTTATGCGCTGATATTGTTTAATTGTTATAAGAACAAAGTTTTTCAATGTACACTTCAGATGTCAGATACTGTAATTGATTTATTAAAGACTGGCGATCCAGTTCTAACACTGTTGTCTAATGTTATGTACTTCAGCAAAAAAAAAAAAGTTTATAATTTAGTTTTTGAATAAAGAAGTTTAATAAAAGATTGCCTACATGTAGCATTTTAGAGCATTTTAGAACATTTTGAGGAATTGCATCTGTCCTGTAAGATATTTTTCTTTTAAAGAGAAATCCAGTGAAAAGATGTTGTTTTTTTTAAAAGTAGTATTTTACAAAGGGGGAGAGGGGCTAAGGAAGACTTATCTCCGCTTGTAGTCTCTTTGATTTTGAAAAACTCCTTGAAAACAAGGGGTTGTGGAGATTAATGTTGAAGGGCTTGTGATCTTACACTCCTTACCCAGGCAAAACTGTTGAAGTTAACAGGTGTCTTTCCTGGGTAAAGAATTCTGAATATTAAGGGCCCAGTACAATCAGAACTAAGAAGGCAGCACAGTGCTCAAATCACCTTGCTGCCAGGCTATTTTTTGCAGATATCTGGCTTGGCCTTTTTTAAAAAAATTGTCCTATTTTGATATGCACTTTGATGTTTAAAGATACCATAACTTGTAACTTACAAAACACCATCTTCATACTTACAGCACACTAAACTATATTCTGAGTGCTAGCATCCCCTGCAAACTATCCTGAAAGACAAATGATAGAATGGCTTTGAATAGAAGTTTAAAATGCCCTTATTACTGGGAACATCGTCCTTATACTAAGGCTTAGAGAGAGGCAAGAGTCTTCTCCCTTACATGCATATAAATATGGAGTAACTCCATTAACTTTGGAGTTGACAGATTATACCGTTTTGTAATGGAGCAGAATCTGGCCCTGAAATGTTGAGCCCTTCCTCTCAGTCTGTAAATTACTTCTGATGGGCCGACCTCTGTACAGAGCCCTATTGAAGTCAATGGGACTCATACAGGCACAGGGATCTGCCTGCATGGAATAACTTGCAGGATTTGGAGATGTTTATTTTCTGGGGGTTACTTTTTTCCCTTTTTTTACTACCTCTCTCTCACACTTATTAATTATTATTATTATTATTTTATTTATAGAATATGTTTCAAATAGCCAGTTTGGGGAATTTTTTAAATTATCATTTTTACTTGAAATCTGTGTGTTTTTTTCTGGATGAATATGAACAATTTGAAGAATTGTTTCTTAAACTCATTTGGTTTTGTAACTTATATAGAATTCAGGATATTATTAAAAGGGCTATTCTTTATTCCCTATGCAAATATTTTAAATGTTGTAGTGTATGACAAAATGGGATTTTAAACAAATTCTGCAAGGCAGAAAACAAAATTCTGTTTACAGTGGCGTTGCTGACTATCCTACTATATTCAGCACTTTTAAATATTGTTGTTTATGAAAATGTAGTTTAAAATGCAAGACATAATATTTATAAACATTTCTTTTAATAAATACCTGTTTTGTCTGAAAGTGTTGTTGTGTTATGACATACTTTATTCATGTTGGTTAGCTATTTACCATTATGAATAAAATATTCAATTATATTGATATAGTAATAGCTATGATGTTTACAAAAAACTTTTCTTCCTGAAGGGGAGGATGGAATTCAACAAGGAAGAATTGCCTCCTTCTACTGTGAAATACAATTTTAAAAATGAATTTAAGATACTTTTTCTTAATTAGAATTAAATTTGGTCCTACATATCTATTGTGCCATTTAGTTAGAATGATATTTACTATGGTACTATACATATATAGCATCATATATATATTTATATGGTATGATTTTAGGTTTGCTAGTGTTTGAGGCACAATGCATTTTGGTGCAAACAACTAGACAATGTGTAACAAGACAATACTGCATGTATAAGCCTTTAAAAATGTAGACTTGAATATTCTTGACGTTACCATTTCATGGTGACCTGCTAGCCATAAGCTATCTTTATAAGATACTTTAGACAAGTAGATGTTCTTGTCAAAACAGACAGTTCATCCTTTAGGACACTTCTCACTAAAGATAAAGGCCCTAAAATACATGTTGATTTCTAGCATAGGCATTCCAGAAATCTGTATCTGGAAACTGTTACATCATTTTAAGAAATATTACATAGGTCTTCAGTGTAATATTGCAATGAGATTATGTTCTAAATCCCCTATTTTCAGGGATTTATAAACTGACCATAATTTATGACATAGAAACTTTCTTCCAAGGAGTAAATATTAATATAATTACTGTTAATATAAACTTCAATAATTGGGGTTTTCAAAATTATATGAATAATCAACTACAGTCCATGTCAACTTATTGGATATCTCAAACTGTTTAAATTTCTGAAATTGATATTGACAACAAATTAGGTCATAACACAATCTCATTGCTTTTGGTACAGTATTTTGAAAAAAATGTAAACAGATGCTATTATACTTGAAAACTGATTTACTTGCACATATAATGTACAATACAATTTTTAAACTGCCCAATCTGCTTACTCTATAGACTGGAATAACAAATATGTATATACCTTGCCACTTCTGGTCTCATGAAAAACTGAAATACAAGTACAAAATATAAACATAAGCTTTAAAAAAGAAAAAAAGAAGCTTAAATGCAGATACATCATAGGGCCTAATCCTGCAGACACCTTTGCATGGCCCTGAATAAGCAAAGCATTTAGGCATATGCCTAAATCCCATTGGCTTCAAAGAAACTAAACATGGGCTTTGCTGAATTGGGGAACACGTGAATAACTTAGGGTTGCCCAAATAGTCTTATTGAAGCCAATAAATGGTTCTGTTTAAATTACTCACATGCGTAAGTGGTTTGTCCTCTAAGTCAACAGTATGCAGGAAGCTACCCCCATTTTTCAGGTTAAATAATTATGGTCCAAGTTCTGACTTGGAGCCATCTTTGCTCCCCCTGGCACAGGATGTCTACACAGATAGCACCTACCTGTGAAGGTAGGTGCAATGGAGGGGGATGCTCTCCCTGGGAAAGCAAGTGGATAGAATTGCTGCCATACATCAGGCTGTGGGGCCATAGAGGGGAAAGCAGCTTCAAATTACAGTAAGATCTTCCTATAAGGCTTGTTTTGCAGAGGCTGACTAGGACATGTGTTCAATGAGCCCACTGAAACTGTTAGACTATTTTCTTCAATGGCCTTTGAATCAGAATCCATGTCCCACAAGGAGTAAGGCCTTCAGTTATCAATGGCTGTAGTAACCCTTCTTGCAGAGTTAACACAGCCAAGGACTCACAGCGGGCATCCTGCTGATGGAACCTGGCGACTGAGTGGATTTAGACTTTACATACTTGAATAACCAAAATGTCAGTTTCAACTTGCTTGTTCCTCTCTGGCTACCAACCCCAAAATAAGGCTCCCTTCAAATGCAAGTTGCTACTGTTCTGCAGATTCTCTGCAGACAAAACATTTGATGTGGGGCTTATGAGACCCGTGTTTTTAATATATATGCCCACTGACATATATATTAAATATAATATATATGCCCAAGTATGCTAGCTTGGAGATGCTTGGAGTCAGAAATTGACCCTACTTATCCCATAAACTAAGATATCAATACAAAAACTTTCCCTGCAATTTAAAATTGTGATACAAGCCAGATAATTCAACTGCTGACAGTAAGTCATTAATTCATGCTGGCTTTTTTCCCTCACAAGCTTTAATTTACACTATATCATCATGTATTCTAAATTTCCTGGCTTTTGACTATTTGTCACAAAGCGTGTTTAATTATACATAGTAGTTATGAATTTCATAAATTCTAACATTCATAGGAACTCTACTATTTGGTCCTGTGAAATCCATAAAACTTCATCATTTTTCATTTCTCCCTTTGACAGAGATGCTTACTGTATTAAATTATCCATCATACTTAAGTGAACTCCACTGACAGATACCAGTGGATCACAAAGAAGCTTTGCATGCATGAATAAGGTTTCAGAGGCAGTGCTTTAGGCTATTTCTTAATGCCAGACTAACTTCAAAGACAGTACATTCACTACATATCCTCTAAGTCTAATTTTCTTCTTTTAAAAATATTGCTGTTACAATGTATTTTGTCAATCCAATTGTACACAGCAACAGACTTGCTGAAAATGGTTTTCTAAACATTGCAGAATTACCATTTTTAATCAGCCCTTCATTTTAATATCCAAAACCATCTTCTCATGTTGAATGTATTTCCTGTGGATTTCCAAAATGGATCTGGATTACAAGTTTTCATTTCTGACTGTTTTGGCAACTTTACATGCATATGCATTACATTAACTTTTTTTTAAAAAAATAAATCTTTTGAAATGACAACTCACTAATGTAAGCTTGGGAGAAGTTACTGTTACTCTACTGGTGTATGTTAATTTAGTTGTAAAGTATGCTTATTTACTTCTGTTAATTTAAGATGTGAACATGAAAGGAAGAACAGAATACTTCAATTTGATTCCTTCCAATGGCTGTACTATAAGTTTATTGCTTAATACAATTTTACGGATAATTTCACCTTTTTACAACATAATAAAGTATATTCTTTAAACTACTTATGTTTTGAGTTTAGCTGAGAGTCTTACTTCTGATGTCATCCAAAACAAAGTGACTTTATTGCAAACTGTTTGCACACAAGGAGATATCAGAAGGGATGAACTGATAATACCAGACAGCAAAAATAAAGTTATCCCACAATCTTTTATCACACCACAGCCTACTAAATGACTTCTTTGTATATCTTTTACATTTCCAATGCAATTGAGCATTAAAATGTGTTTAGCAGAGCTGTATTTTAGAAACTGGTATCCACTGAGCTTTTACTTCAGTAATTCTTGAAAACTGCCCTTATCTCTTTCTTACAAAACATTTTAATTCTGCTTTTACTCTGAATGTTCAATTTTTGCATGTGCTGTAACTACAGGATACATATGCAAAGATGCCTAAAGTATTTTAAGGAAGTTCTTTCACCACTATATTTTTGAGGACTCCTTATAGCAGGAGGAGTGGCCAAGAACTCTGAAATTATACTTAACAGGAGCCCAATCCTAGTACAGCTTTTACGTAGGATTACAAACACTTCATACCTGTGCTTACCAGCGCCTCAATAAACTGACTTGGGCCTTATTTATCCTTTTTTAAAATAACTTAAGGTATGAATCTAAACAAATATAGTTATACCAGTCTAAACATAGTTGTTGACTCTTATTCCAGTATGTCTTTTTCATGTTAGCTTATGTTGCTCAGGAAGGGGTTTAAGCTAAATAAAACACACAAAAATTCTTATACCTGAAAATGTGTAAACATAGGATTATACTGGAATAACTGTTAAAACTCTTCAATATTGACAAGCCCTTATTTTGAGCCTAGTTGCTCTGATGTGAGTATGGGGCTGAAGTGACCCAGGTGGGATCCACAATGTTTTTTGGGGTCTTAGGCTCAGATCCTTGAAGGTATGTAGGTACCTAACTACCTTGGAGGATCTGGGCCTTTGTGCTTGAGCTCATCTACAGTATCCATCACCATATATCGAAGTCATACCGGAGTTTGAGGAAATAAGATCCTTGTCCCTCAGATGTTTCACTTTGTTTCTATGCTGGAATAATGGAGGTTCCTACTGTTACCCATATGGAACAGCAACAAAATGGAAGAAAGGGAGTGGGTTAGATCCCTGAGCTTGCCCCCAAAGGAGAAAAGAATGCCTTTGCAAGGAAGAAATAGCTAGTGCTGATTGGCGAGATGGGAAGAATAGGATGGCCTGTCTTCTTCCCTAGCTTCAGTCAAGGTGTGTTCTTGTGCAGTTCATCCTGGGAAGAAATCCTCCCTGCTACTTCCAGAGTCAACCTCGGTACATGCACAAAAGCTTCTCGTCATTATTCACAGAAGGGTAGAGTAAGCCGGTGGTCCTTCCATCACTATGCAAGTGGTGTGGCAGCGTTTGAGGGAAATTCCACACCCTGTGCTATGCAGGTCAGGCTAGATGATCACTATGGTTCCTTCCAGTCTTAAAATCTCCCAACAGAGTAAGCCTGGCTGTGGAGTTCCAGCAGCCTTCCCACTGCCACTGAGTGCACGAGTGAAGCATTAGAGACAATGAGATGATACTTACCTTAGTGAAACAACATTTGACAGCTCGTGTATGTATGTGAAGATGTACTTACTAGTAAAGAAATGGTTCAATCTATCTCCCAGTGGACAAAAGTCATGTGTCAAAATCACTGCCATAATTCATACTCTTGTCATCAGTCTCTGCATTAAACCCAAAAATTCGGAAGGAATGGAGAATGAACTGTCATTATCCCATAGATATAGGGCCTCAAGGTCAGGACTGTGGACATATTGCTGGAAGCTTGCACTACTGCTGCCACCAAACATGGTTTGTGGAGAACCGGAAAAGGTTACATCATCAGTGCTGACTAACTGTGGCATCTCTAGTGGGCTTCTGATAAAGCCAGGGTAAGCTTTCTAGGGCAGGTAAGGTTAAGCAAAGAGGTGAGTTTTCTATTTGCTTTTAACCTGGGTTTATAAACTTTTGGGGCTTGCTCCTGAAAAGGCCAAAGCAAACTAGCACAGGGCTGAGACTGCTCTGTACTGTGGATAACCTAGTCACTGGACTGAAACATGAAAAATAAAGTGGTCAAAGCCTCTACACCATGCAGGGACGGAAGTGATGTAGATAGGGGCAGAAGTGATGTACAGGAGGGAGATGTATTAGGCAGAAGCAATGCAGATAGGGGACTGAAGCAGTGCATGGATGGGAAGTGTAGAGGAGCTGAAGCCATGTCCTGAGGGGAGGGTATAGAGCTGAAGCAATATATGTAGGTGACTGAAGTGCTATATGGATGGGAAGCATATAGTGGCTGATGGGAGGTGCACAAGGGCTGTAGCAATGTAGGGAAGGAAGGCATATAGGAGCTGCAGCAAAGGGAGATGTACAGGGGCCACAGTGATATAGGGGAACAAGGCGTATGAGGGCTGTAGTGATATATGTGTGGAAAGGAGGTGTATAGTGGTTGTAGCGATGTAGCAAATGGAGGCATACTGGGGCTGAAGGGAGGTGTACAGGGGCTTTAGCCATGTATAGATGTGAGGCATACAGGGGCTGTAGTGACATATAGATGGGAGGCATAGAGGGGCTGTAGCGACATATAGATGGGAGGCATACAGGACCAAAGGGAGTCGTACAGGGGCTGTAGTGACATGTACTGGGGCTGTAGAGATGTAGGGGAGGGAAGCATATAGGCATTGCATATGTAGATGCGGGGTGTATAGGGGCTGTAGCGAAGTAAGGGATGGAAGTGTATGGGGCTGTAATGATGTACAGAAGGGCGGAGTACAGAGGCTGTAGCAAGGAAGGGGAGAGAGTTGTACAGGAGCTGTAGAGATGTAGGAGAGGGAGGTGAAGAGGAGTTGCAGGGATGTAGATGAGGGAGGTGTGCAGGGGCTTTAGCAATGTTTGTATGGGAGGGCTATACCAGTCTATAGAGAGGTGGGGAATAGGGGCTGTGACAATGTATAGGAGGGAGGGTATAGGGGCTGTAGGGATGTATAGGGGCTATAGAGGTATATAACTACAAGAGGTACAGGAGCTGAAGGCATGTATAGGGGCTGTAGGGCTATATAGCTGGGAGGGGAGCAGGGGCTGTATAGAGGCTATAGGGCTATATAGCCAGGAGGAACGCAGGGACTGTAGGGATGTACAGGGGCAGTAGGACGGTACAGCTGGGAGGGGCGCAGGGGCTGTAGGGATGTACAGCTAGGAGTACTGCAGGGGCTGTAGGGTGGCATAGCTGGGAGGGGCATTGGGCTGTGTAGCTAGAAGGGGCGCTGGGGCTGTAGGGCTCGGAAGCTGGGAGGGGCGCAGGGGCTGTGGGGATGTATAGGTAGGGGGGTGCAGGGGCTGTGTAGCTGGGAGGGGCTGGGGGGATGTATAGGTAGGAGGGGCTGTGTAGCTGGGAGGGGCTGTGGGGACCTATAGAAAGGAGGGGCGGTGTAGCTGGGAGGGGCTGTGGGGATGTATAGGAAGGAGGGGCTGTGTAGCTGGGAGGGGCTGGGGGATATATAGAAAGGAGGGGCTGTGGAGATGTATAGGAAGGAGGGGCTGTGGGAACGTATAGGTAGGAGGGGCTGTGTGGCTGGGAGGGGCTGTGGGGACATAGAGGAAGGAGGGGGTTTGTAGCTGGGAGGGGCTGTGGGGACGTATAGGAAGGAGGGTCTGTGTGGCTGGGAGGGGCTGTGGGGACGTAGAGGAAGGAGGGGCTGTGTGGCTGGGAGGGGCTGTGGGGACGTAGAGGAAGGAGGGGCTGTGTGGCTGGGAGGGGCTGTGGGGACGTATAGGAAGGAGGGGCTGTGTGGCTTGGAGGGGCTGTGGGGACGTAGAGGAAGGAGGGGCTGTGTGGCTGGGAGGGGCTGTGGGACATATAGGTAGGAGGGGCTGTGTGGCTGGGAGGGGCTGTGGGGACTAGAGGAAGGAGGGGCTATGTGGCTGGGAGGAGCTGTGGGTACGTATAGGTAGGAGGGGCTGTGTGGCTGGGAGGGGCTGTGGGGACGTATAGGTAGGAGGGGCTGTGTGGCTGGGAGGGGCTGTGGGGACGTATAGGTAGGAGGGGCCGTGTGGCTGGGAGGGGCTGTAGGGGACTAGAGGAAGGAGGGGCTGTGTGGCTGGGAGGGGCTGTGGGGATGTATAGGTAGGAGGGGCTGTGTGGCTGGGAGGGGCTGTGGGGACGTAGAGGAAGGAGGGGCTGTGTGGCTGGGAGGGGCTGTGGGGACGTAGAGGAAGGAGGGGCCGTGTGGCTGGGAGGGGCTGTGGGGACGTAGAGGAAGGAGGGGCCGTGTGGCTGGGAGGGGCTGTGGGGATATATAGAAAGGAGGGGCTGTGGGGATGTATAGGAAGGAGGGGCTGTGTGGCTGGGATGGGCTGTGGGGATGTACAGGAAGGATGGGCTGTGGGAACGTATAGGTAGGAGGGGCTGTGTGGCTGGGAGGGGCTGTGGGGACATAGAGGAAGGAGGGGCTGTGTGGCTGGGAGGGGCTGTGGGGACATAGAGGAAGGAGGGGCTGTGTGGCTGGGAGGGGCTGTGGGGACGTATAGGTAGGAGGGGCCGTGTGGCTGGGAGGGGCTGTGGGGACGTATAGGTAGGAGGGGCCGTGTGGCTGGGAGGGGCTGTGGGACGTATAGGTAGGAGGGGCTGTGTAGTTGGAGGGGCTGTGGGGATGTATAGGTAGGAGGGGCCGTGTGGCTGGGAGGGGCTGTGGGGACGTATAGGTAGGAGGGGCTGTGTAGTTGGAGGGGCTGTGGGGATGTATAGGTAGGAGGGGCCGTGTGGCTGGGAGGGGCTGTGGGACGTATAGGTAGGAGGGGCTGTGTGGCTGGGAGGGGCTGTGGGGATGTATAGGTAGGAGGGGCTGTGTGGCTGGGCGGGGCTGTGGGGATGTGTAGGTAGGAGGGGCTGTGTAGTTGGAGGGGCTGTGGGGATGTATAGGTAGGAGGGGCTGTGTGGCTGGGCGGGGCTGTGGGGATGTATAGGTAGGAGGGGCCGTGTGGCTGGGAGGGGC